GTCCCGCGGCGTTTTTAAAAAGTCCCGATTTTTGGAAAGAATGCACGACAAGCTAGGGTATACGGTTTTCGGCTGCCATGTGGCTATTTTGCCAGGATATGAGTTTTATCCATGGTGTCCCGCTGGTGTTCCGCTTTACCAATGTTAACATCTGGTCACCTTACACATAACCTGAGCCACAACAGCCAGTGTGACTCTGACCACACCCCTCAGCATTCCTTACTCCAGATATTCATTGTTAATGTGCAAAACAGACTCTGGGGTGTTTTCTTTTTTTACTATTGTTGTAAAAGTGAAACCTCAGCTAACAACAGCTGATAAGTAAGGAGAGGGTGAAAGAGATCGCTAAGAACAAGAACAGACACTGCAAGAGGCAAAGGTTTTCCTCCACAGCAGACAGAGAGCTTTCTGGTAGGGCCTGAGCTCTGTGTTCAGAGTTTGAGCATCCTTGAACTGTGAGGAGCCCTGGTGGTATGGTGATTACTCACTGGGATGCTAACTGCAAGGTCGATAGTTCGACACCACCAGCCGCAGCCAGCCCATGGGAGGAAGATGGGGTGCTCTGCTCCCAGAGTTATGACTCAGAAACTCACAGGGGCAGTACTGCTCTTTCCTATCGGATTGCTACGATTTGGCATCAATTCCGTGGAAATGAGTTTGGGGCTATTTTGCTTGTTTAAAACTGTGAGAAAACAAATGTCTACTCTTCAGATCTTTCTATGAGAGCAGCCGCGGCAAACTGAGACACAAGTGTCCATTGTGACAGAAGACACGTGATCATTCTCTGCTGGAAAACTGCCATCATAAATACTCAGACACCATCCGACCTCGTCTACCTGTACAGGGCTCTGCCTCAGTTGTGCAGTGCACAAGCTACACTACCATTCACGGGAGCCCCAACAGTCAGGAGACTACTTCAGTGACAAAGAGGATTGAGGATCTTTTTTTTTTTTTTAATATTTACAAATCTTTTTATTTTATTTTTTTCATCATTTTACTAGGGGCTCATACAACTCCCATCACAATCCACACAGACATCAACTGTGTAAAGCATATTTGTACCTTCACTGCCCTCATCATTCTCAAAACATTTGCTCTCCACCCAAGCATCAGCTCCTCATTTTTCCCCTCCCTCCTCGCTCCCCCCTCCCTCATGAAGCCTTGATAATTTACAAATTATTATTTTGTCATATCTGCACTGTCTGATATCTCCCTTCACCCACTTTTCTGTTGTCGGTCCCCCAGGGAGGAGGTTTTATGTAGATCCTTATAATCAATTCCCCCTTTCTACCCCACCTTCCCGCCACTCTCAGCACTGGTCCTAAATGGATCATCTGTCCTGGATTCCCTGTGTTTCCAGTTCCTATCTGTATCAGTGTACATCCTCCTGTCTAGCCAGATTTGTCAGGTAGAATTGGGATCATG